CCCCGACCCCCACCCGCCCCTCTCTCCCCAGGGCCACACACCCACCGCTGCTCCTGCTGCACCCCCGCTGGGTGCGTGCTCCCTGGGAATGCCACCCCTCATCACCTCCCCGGCCGTCCACAGCCCCACCGCCTGCGGATGGGTTGGGATTTCTACTCTGCATCCACGTCCCCTTCCATACAGCCCAGTATCCCCACGCACCCACATCATTCCCAGTCCTAGCTGGCATGCACCCAAATACCCCTCCCAGGGTCCCTGGCCCCGTTCAGCTTTCATCCCCTCTCACACCCACTGATGCCGCCTCACACACATGGTCATTCCTGTGCCACATATGCTCCTGCATCCCAAAACCTCCACTGCTTCTCATGTACACGCCCCAGGCCTCCCCTTCCATCTCTGCAGCCCTGGTCCTTCTTCACAGACCTCCCAGCCTTCCCCACGCTCCTCATACGACTACGTGCCCCTCGAGTACAGCTTACAGAACATGAGGCATATCCTGCTCTACCCTGTCCTCCCATGTCCAGATCCCTTTGAACTCCCCACACTCTGTCTCTGATGGCCATCCCACATAGGGGCACAAGAAGAGCACAATACCTCCCACCCCAGCTTCTCTCCAGCTGTGGCTCCCGTCCAAACCCCTTGCCACCATCCAACGAACATCCCTGATACTCAGGCACTGGCCACTGCGCTGTCCCTTCAAGTTCCCCAGCCTCATTTCCTCACCAAGCAGACTCCCTCCTCCGTTCTTCATGACCATCCTCCTTTCCACACACCGTGGCCTCTTCAACTGTGCACACAGACCAGCTCCGACAGCCCCTTGGCTCTGTGGTTTCTTGCCCATCCTCTCTCTCCCCAGACCCTATCAACTCTCTTACCTACAGTCATCAGCACCGTGACCCCAGCCCCCAGGACTTGCCTCTGTGCCACAGCAGTCTCAGGCTGGCTGGCTTCCCCTCTGGACACCTTGCCAGCACCCAAGGGGCGCCGAGGAACCGTCTCCATCAGCAGTTTCCTGGAGCTGTGGCCAAGAGGAAAGCTGGGGTGGATGGAGCTTGGGGAACACCCACCACCAGGAAAGGCAAGAACCGCCTTGCACTGTCCTGGATTAGTAGGAACAAATGCAGAGGAAGAACCACACCGTGGGCCTGCACAGGGTGTGAGACTAGATCACCAGCCCTCAGCGCCAGACTCACCTGCCGTAGGAAGAGAAGCCAGAGAGATCTTATAGGGAACAGAGCCAAGCTCCTCAGGCTGGCGAGCAGGCATGAGCTAAATAGCCTCCTCATGCGTGAAAGAATCCTGTAGGCGTTGCTAGCAATTATCTGGGCAGCACTGCTAGACTGGGTGAAGAATCTGACATTAAATTAAAAAAAAAAAAAAAAAAAAAAATCAAGGGAAAACCTCAGGTAAGCAGAAGTTGTAAGAGGCGTGAGGCTCTCCCATGTTTCCACATCAGCTCTTGGAAGATTGTCACTTCCTCATGCTCGGAGCTCTGTGGTAAAAGCCAGTGTACCTGGAAAGAAGAATCCAGGTCAGGAATGGAAAAGTTTAGCTGAAGCTGCTGCTTCTTGTGTCAATCCTGACAGAGTTATCTTAAAGTCTTTCTGCAACACCTCCCTGCCCCAGAAGCTGGGCCCATGTGAAAGAACTATAGTCTTCCCCTGACAGAGCCACTCTCTTGCCCACCTCCCAGCAGAGTTGTGGATGCACATCCACAACCGTATCGTATGTGTTAGACACCTTTGTTACCAAAAGAGCAATTTTCTGAAGTGTTGAGCTCCAAAGGGAGAACATGCAGCCCAGAGGAGGGGTGCCACACACCCACAGGGTGGTAGGAGATGAAATCTTATTGTTACAGCTGCCTCTTCTTTTAAAACAGGCCAAGTGATTGAATAGACCCAGTCAATAGATTGATTTAACTGCTTGCAGAGGTCTTGTGAAGCATGACTCACTCTTAATGAATGGAGGTTAAGAACACAGAGCCAAAGAAATTAGCAGAAGGGGATTGTGCTGAGCACTCTAGGTCCATGAGGACCTGCCTGTTGGCCTATATCTACATTTAAAAATTGCAGCATTGATAGCATTGCTTCTCCTTACAGGGTAAACAGGTTCCAGGCATTTTAGTACCTCTCAGAACAGCCCAAAGCAGAAGTGGATGTACTCGAGTTCCACCACTTACACCTTTAAGCAACACAAAACTATTATCTTTTAGAAAAGGCACACTATTGTTAACTGAAGTTATAGGTTTGATACAGGTGACATTCATCCATCCATCCATGTCAAATGGGAAGTCATACAAGTTGACTACAATGGCCTTAGAAAAAAAAAAAAAATTACTGCTTACATTGCTCAGAAAGATGGATAGCAACGATTGTGCAATCAAGGTTGCTCTCAAAGGCATTTCTAGTCTTCCAACCAAATACAAATCTTGATTGAAAGCAATAGAAAGCATCAAGCCCATGCTATACTTAAGTGATGCAATTAATGCTCCTTTAAGAAGTATACACTAACCTGCCCATAAGGATGCTGCACCATGCCAGAACTCCACCTTGGAGAGTATCATGTCCTATTTTGTCTCCTTTTTGCTACTCTGTTCTTGGCACCTGTAAAACCACCCCAACACACACACACACCACCAAGGCCTGAAGGATATTTGGCCCTATGGCAACATCATCCCCTTGGATCTTAACCCCTGGGTAAGAAAGCAACTCGCACCATGAAGAAGTTGGCTACTATGGAGCAAAGGAGGAAGGAATGTGGAAAAAACAAAACTTGGCACAAAGACTCAAGAGCCTCTGGCAAAACCGAGCCATTTACAGAACTACATGTTAAACCTATTTTTTAAGCCATCTTTACATTGTAAAAGGAAAAAAATACTTCAGATGTCCAAGGAGATTTTAAAATTACCAAGTCTTGCAGCTGGTTTGTAAATGGTTTTACCAAGAGCTCTGTAGCTGTCCTTCCCCCTCTCTGCCAGTTCTTACTCCCCAGCATCAGGAGGGCACAATGCAGTACCTAACAGCCAACATTCCCAATAATTCTCATCATGGCAAAGGATAACAGGTATCATAGGATTTAAGGTTCATCTTTGCAACATACCCCTGTACAAAACCAAACTTCACCCATTTCAGGATTCTAAGTTCCGAAGTTTTAATAAACTGTTCTCTACTTGTAAACAGTGAGGTCATGAGTTATCACTGAACATTTATACCAATTCAATGCTGTGCTGATTTCCTACCTGCCTATTATGTGCTTAAAATCTCTTGAGAAAAAAGCAGCAATGAGTTATTTAGCTTACCCGTTAAGCCCTGCTCAGGCACATGCCACAGCTGGAGACATATAATTCAAAGTCAAAGAACGCAAACAAGCCGGTAACACCAGCATAGTTTTTATTTGCTCCCTGAATTAAATATTGGCAGATACAGAAAATTCAGATACCAACTATTTCCCCAACATTTACAAGACTGAGTTTGTGATGTCAGAAAACAAAGCACATTTACGCACAATCCTGGCAACTGATAGTGTGAGTGCACAAGATCACCCTGCCTGAACATCAGTTTTTAAGAGGCAGTATCCCTGGTCTCCAGCATCCAATGCTGTCCCCTCACTGACAACTGTGGCACCACGGAACGGCCAAGTAAATATCCTGAGTGGGCAGCTCCAGTGCATTTCCCCCTGCACAGGATTTATTCCATGCTCCTCCTGAAGGGGCAGAGGCAAGGTCAGCGTATCCAACAAATAACCCACCTATGAACAAAAGCTGATTCTCGCTGTGCCTTTTTTGCTGTTCTTTGAGAGCAGGGAAGAACACAGCACAGTGACACTTCCAAGAAAGCTGTTCTTAAAGGCCTTATTGCTGCCACACATTGTCTGTGCTGGCAACAAAGTGCCAGAAGCACGCTCATTCCCTGCTGCATGCCGAGTTCTCTGTGGCTGCTGAACTTTACAGTGGGTTTGCAGCACTTTCCCTGCTGTCTGAGGGAAGGGAAGTTTTCAAATAAATAAAAGGACATGAAGTAAGCAAGCTTGTATAACTGAAATCATGTGGAAACAAAAAGCACGTGCTGTTGAAGGAAATACCATTTGCTCCTTCTCACACTGGAGCAGAACTTCGGAACCTGCATCCTTCTTAAAGCAGCTGGTAGAGTCAGTGCCTCCAGAGCAAAACACAAGTATAGTTGGTGCAGCAGGAGGAGCCAGGCACCTCTGCTCCCTTTTTATAAAAAAAAAAAAAAAAATATAAAGAAAGAAACAGACACTTCTCTAAAACATGTCTGCTAAGCTGGGGATGTACAGAAGACAGATCACATCTAAGATGTACAGTGATCCATACAGCATTTCACTGGCCAGTGCACATCCACTATTAGCTAACCCCCGCAGGGGGAACTGAGCACGTATTATCCCCCGTTCTACAGAAGGGGGAAACACATGGTTTTACCAACTCTACTGTGCAACCTTGTGTTAGATCCTAGCATGGCAGATGGCAAGAGATTTTCCCTTTTGGAAGGATCACAGAAGTGCCTTCTAGGCTGCAAAATGCCTTGGGCATTCTCAGACAACTGCATCTTCTCTAGGCACAGGAACTCCTGAATCCCAGTCCTGCACTCCAGATCCTAATCCACATGCTCCTACTTGCCAACCTTGCCAGTGTCTCTTCAGCAGGAGTTCCCTTAGCTCCAGAAGCAACAATCACTCCAGGTAACTTAGCTGTATGACCATTCTTCCACGACCCCGATGGTTAGATTTATAAGGGCATTGTATGCATTTGCATCTATTTGCTCCCTTTGTGTTAGTAACAAGGACCTCCCAAAAGATAGCTTATAGTATATCATATCCAGGCCCCAGAGGGATTCTAGGTATCACCACCTCCTGCTTTTCCCTTATGGTTTTTGCACTGGGCTGCAACCATCCGACATAAGGTGCCACCGGGCAAGCGAGGGAGGGAGGGAAGTGGCAAAGTCGGGAACACACAACTTAATTAATGATGGGATTGTCAGTCATTTCCATGTCAGGCCCCACATCTACACACCATGCACTGGCATTGATCTTGCCCTGCCCACTCGGCTCAGAAAGGCAGTGAGAGTGCCTCTTCTCACGCCGAGCCACCATATCAGTCTTGGTCGCCGTCAGACGACTCTTCCTCTGCCTCCTCCAGCCACTGGATAAACTTCTGGAGCTGCAGAGAGAAAGAAATGTAACTGGGTAACAAGTGACACCATGCCCAACAACTACACTGTGTCAGTGAGCACCACTATCATGCACAAGAGAAAGAGTGTTTCTAGGAAACACAGAGGCAGATTGAGGGAGAGAGAGACAAAAGTTTAGATTAATAACAACTGGGATGCCACAGACAAACCCAGACTGATTAGATTCCTTAGGGAGACTCCTCCAGTCAGACAATCCCGACAACACTCAGCAAAAGTTTGAGAATTTTTCAGAGCCTGAGGGAGAAGAGACGACACCTTAGCTATGACATGTTAGGAACACTCTGCTGGGAAAACCTACTCCCTGAGAAATTGCTATAAAGAAGGCAGCTCATTTTACCTTTTAACTGGGCTCAAATTAGCAGCTGAAAGCACTGCTGACCTATACTAAGAGCTGACTTTGCAAAGGTTTTAAACAAAGTTGGAGTTCTTCAGAGATGGCTTTTTTTCCCCTGCTCCTCTTCCAGATCCAGGGAGGAGGACTGGAACAGGGCTCAGCCAAACTACAGCACAAAGTTCTGCCTGATGGAGGGGGGACGTTTATATGCTCCTTGCAACACAAGCCAAATGAAACCACTCAGTACAGCAAACGCTTAGAAATATATGTGAAGGGACTGGTGAGCCAGGAATGAAAGCTTCAAAGGAATTGCATGGGGCCAGCACGCAGGGCATTGGCCTAAAGCCCATTTCAAATGGGTGTTGGCTTAGAGAAGTTGTGCTGCTACTTCAGAAAATGCTGGCCTCGTGCTACAGAGAGCCCACTAGGAACAATCTCCCTCTCTTCCTACCTCCATTCCTCATCCAAACAGGATGATTATGGCAGAATGCACAGAAATGTCTGTTCTAGAGAACGAAGTTGTGTTGCTTAGTGTTCAGTGCACTGGTGCGTTACTGGCCTACCATGTAATGGCAGCTGCTCCACAGAAGGCAACAGTGGCATCGAACTCCACTCAAAGTTTTCTTTTAGCAGCTGTTGTGCGTGTATGTGTCTCTCCCTGCCCCCCCAACTCCCACCCCCCATGTTTAAACACCTTTGGGACTTACCCGCTGGTTTTTACGAAGCTGCTTTCCCTTGTCAGACGTGTCCCGCAAAGAGAACCAATTGAGAATTACATCTTCTTCCAGAATTTCCAGCTGGTAAAATGTCATCAACACCTGCATCAATTAGAAAAGAGCAACAGGGCTTTTTATAAACTCTTTTGGGGCTAGCTCATGTCCAAGCACAAAGTTTGCACATAATCTGTGTCTCCCAGCTCCATCTTCAACAAAAGGCACTCAGTCTACTTCATTTTGCTTTTATTGTTAAAAATAACTGTGCTTCTCCTACCAAGCCTTATGTTCCTGACAATTAGATGCTATGACACATAATAAGTCAAAGTTCAAGCCCCATTGGCTTTAGCTCTGTGGATACATAGAGAGCTGTGGGCAACAAAGGGCCACAGAGGGTGTCAGTTCAAGATGTTACTCAAGCTCTTTTTTTAAAGCACCCCAAAACCCATCTCCAAAGCAGATCTAACAAGCAGCTCTTACACAGGCCCACATACACACAACAGCGACATGTGCAGAGAAAAGCATGAGTCTATCCAGCTCTTCCCCAGGCTCCCTCCTCCTGCCAGTTCTCTCTTAAAAGTGCCTTATGGCAGGTGTCAAAGCAATTGGTCATTCATCAGCTCAAACTCCTCCCCAGTACAGCAAGGGTAAGATGCAGTCATGCTTTCTCAGGGTGCCTTTGTGCTCAGGCAGAGCAGGCACTTTGCAGTCGGTCTCCTTGCAGCAGAGCACTGACAAAGCTGGCTGCCAACTCCAAATATAAAATGTCACTTCAATTCCCAGCCTCCAGGGAAACCCAGGCCCCTAGAACAATGGACACATGCCAAACAATTGCTGTAATCCAAGGGCATTTTGGCTCACCAAACTGAAGGCTTTTGGCTCCAGTCTTAAGTGCTTTGCCATTAGCCAGAAGCATTGGTAGCAAAAGTTAGGATTACTCTTCCTTGAGGAACCAAGAGTTAAACAGGCTCTAAGAGAGCTCTTCCAAAAGTGACAGGGGCTTCCTGAGACACAGCTAAAGGAAAGACTTGCAACCCAAGTCAAATACTCTCAGTGCGATAGGGCAGAAAGAACACAGGGACAAAATATTTGTGGAGGAGGGCAAGGAGGAATATACTGAAAAGTCTCAGAAGTGGGGAGATAGGTAATAAGACACATGTCAGCTTCCCTTTATTCCCAGTTTCATAACTAGCTCAGCCTGAATAAGAAATCCCACCCTTATTACCAGCTTTGCTTGTTTTGCACTCTAAAGTAGGATAAACCATTTGACAGTTAGATCCCAGGGACCATAGAGAGATAAATGAAGTAAAGCTCTTCCTATAGCAAGCCTCTGGCCTGGTCTCTTCCAGGGTCACACAACAAGGGCATCTAGGTTAGAAGCTGCAAAATAATAGCTCTCTTCAGGCTGCATGCTGGTAATTAATACTTACCCTCAGCTGTGCTCCCTCAGAGGCACAGGCAGACATACAATTTTTTTTTTTTTTTTAAAGCAATTGATATAGATGGATTTTCTATACACCCTCTCCACTGAGACCCCAAAATTCTCTCCTTTAAAGCAAACAAGCCTATGATGCAAACAGGATGCATTTCACCATGCATCTAGCAAAAACAGGTCCTCAGAGTTGGGCGTGGATACTCACTTTAGCTATCGACGTGCAGAGACTGTCATGTTCTAGGAAGAATTCCTCAATGGCAAATAAGGCATTCAAGTGATCTGACGCCCGTTTTATGTAGTTCTTAAACAACGGGGTCCAGTTCTTCAACAGCTGCAGAGGAAAAACAGAAGAGTTCCTGAGCTATGAGATGGATGTGTGCACTCAGCCCTGTTTCTCAGCTGTGCTGCATTAAGAAACTGACCCAGGGAAGCATTTTAAGAAACCATTCAGCTGACCACTTTATATATTTGGCCCACTCTGTCCATGAAACAGATGCTATTAAGTCTCGCATGCGCAGATAGGACCTGGTTTTACTAAGCAGCTTTGAGGGTATCCATTAGCTTTCTTGGTTTTGCCTCTCTGGATGGAATACTAGATTATCACAATAAATGTGTTTAATATGGTACTCAAAGAAAATCACTTCACAGCAGACTGATAAGGAGAGGTACACACATGCTACTCAAATCTTCCCCCCACAGAGCAGCTGACATTTCAGTGTAACTTTCCTTCAAAGCAGAAGAGCAAGTAAGAAAAAAAGAGAAGAAGATAGTGCCAGGATAATTACCAGCTGAGTAGAAGTGGACAGTGCAAAATAGCCACCCCTAAAACAGGAACGCAGTGGAGCAGCCCCTAAGTGCAAGTCACACGTGTGCCTGCAAGTTTGTTTGGATCCTGGAGTCTGCTGCAGGGAATGGGTGGGAAGGATGAAGGGCAAGAAGTTGTTACACTATTAGCTGATCTCAGTTCTCTCCTCCAAGGCTTATTTTTTATGAAGTCTTTAGTTTAATGATTTTGGTGCTGCCTCTTCAAACAGTATTTCTGTCCAAGTCCCCCACAGCTTTTTCACTTGTTGTACATATCTGGAAGGCAAGCAGCAGGGAAAGCTCTGCAAAGCAGCACAGAATGACCTGAATCTGGGATAGAAGGTAATAAAGATACTTAGACCCCTGTCCATAACAGTTTTAAAAGGTATCAGAACTAGGATAAGATACAAAAATTCCTCATTGGCCACATCGTGACCAGACCATCTTACAAAAACATTGCAGGAAATTAAATCAGAGTTCCACATCTTTTTAAATGGATTAACTCAACAGCAGGCATTCCTGCAACTACATCCCTGGCATGCCCATACAGATACACTGTTTTGCTGTGCCTTCAACAGTGTCTCCTTACAGAACACATCTGGTCTGTTTTGAAGGGAAACAGGTAATTCACAGGGGCTTGGGGTGCGATGAAGAAGCTCTGAGTCACCTATATTCAGGGTTAATCAGCATTATTCTGTCCAGGACAATTGTTAACAGGCAGTAGCCCTGCCAGACAGAGAACTCCAGGACATATAGCAGAGCTAGAACCCAGGCTAGCGTGGACTACCAAAGGTAGCCTGTATTACGAAACAGTGCTCAACTACCCCATACTACTACACTCCATCACCTCTTCAGACACATTTGCTATGCAACCATGCTGGAATTTGCATGCCTCAAGCAGAAACAAAGGGGATTAGTACAAACAAACTGATCTGTATAGTAGTACATTGACTGGCTCAAGGAACAACAGTAACAGCACAGAATGATCCTAATCATCATGGTATCACAACAAAAAACTGAGGGTTGTATGGCATATTTCCAGAAAGTATTTTAGCCTTTAGCAAAATGCTTAATCCTAAAGACTCTTCCCTCCTCTATAAGCATCTCCTGCATTTTTATTATCCTTTGGAAATATTCACCTCGAATGTAGTAAAGCTACTAGCAAGTTCCTTCCAGGCTAAGAAATATTTTGTAATACCTTTCTGTTAATGCCTTTAAATCCTAAGTGGGCACAATTCTAACCAGAAGCTATTGAGTTTCTGAAAGCAAGTTATTTATAAAGAAAGCAGAGCTATAAACATTCACAACCCCAGGACTCAATCAAGTATGCCTATTTCTGGGAAAGGGAAAGAAGAAAAAGTATACCATCTCAAGTCAAGAACATGCACTGTACTGTAAATGGTGCTAATGGGGAAAGTAGGGCTCAGCCTCACACAGCCCCTAGCAAAAATACACTTATGAACCTGTATGACCGGAGAGGCTGTTTTGAGAGTTTCATGAAAATCTGAACTGGGGAATTGGAAGCTTGCAATTATTTTAGATTGAGTAAAAGACTGAAAAATGTGAAGATACCTGACAAAGAGCCCTATGGACAATATCATAACTTTCCAGGCTTTGACTCTACCTGGGTAACTCCTCAAAACAATCTACAGTATGCAAAAAGCAATCAAATTCCTCTGACAGGACGATTCATTTTATATCAGATCTGGTCAGTGATGCTGTATCAACTTCAAAGAGGTTTGTGATCCACTTTTCTTCTTCCAGAAGAACAGTCTCAACACCAGTCCTATTTTACCCCTACCTCCAGCACAGAAGCACAAGGGACAAAGCTATAATTACAACCTGTTACACCATAACAGCATCTGTGCTGATCACCATGAATTGTTTCAGTGAAAGCAGAGATCCATTTTGTCCCTGAATAAGTGATCCCATGTTGTGTTCACTTGCATGACATTACAGAAGAGTAAGGCTCCCTAAGAGAAACCTGAAGAGGTGCAGCACACGTGCTAGCTGCTGGGCAGCAGTGCAGGCACTGGCCAGCTCAGCAAATTGAACAACTAGATTGCCTCCCCCAGCTCCCTTTAGACATCCTCACCTACATAACCTTTTTGATGCTGCTTCAGTGACAACAGAAGCACAGCCTTCAGTTTATCAGCAGCTTCAGCCACGTTTGCTAAAATCATGTCTACAGTTCTAGGAAAGGTCTGGTTTTCTGTACCACCTCTGCTTTATAACTTGTACAAGAGCCAAACAAGATGCCTGACATACATCGAACTGGACAACTCTATTTCTCAAGCCTCCACGTTTCATCTGAAGAATACCCATGGGCATATCCTTTACCGGATGCTTGTTTCCTAAAATTGCTGCAACACTTAAGAGCTTCATGCTCAGGGGCCAGCACTTCAGAGCACATACTGTGGTTTCCAAGTCAAACCATACATCATAACTATGGCATTTCTACAATTTCCCCTCCTGAGGTGTCTGGGACCGCTCTACCATCACTCTTACACAAGCAACCCATCTTCCTTCAACATCTCTTAGTCAGAGTTGAGCTACAGAGAGAGTGAGAAACATAAACCAGTTCTGTAAAGTTCAGTGGGCTTCTGATATTCACCACTCTCAGAATGCAAGTATCCCCATCTCATACAAAATAACACTTTGCCACATGTAAAACATCATAAGCAGATCTCAGCCTAATACTGCTATTGACTGAGGCAGCTTTAGCTGCATAGCTACACACTTCAGCTACATGCTTTCATTAGGTACTAACCTATACCAAGCTAATGCTTGGGATTCTCAGGGTGTACGTATTAGTAAATTAATGGAGCGTACTTTTTACTAACTATGGAACCACAAGTTGCAGAAAAGCCACTGTTTCAGGTGCTGTACAAACATGCATGTTCTGCCCGAAGAAACGGTCTCTTCTCTTCAAAGCGCTGTTGGTAAATACACAAAGCTGCTGTCCAGGAAGACCATCAATGTCTGTTTAATGTCTTTGAAGGCTCGTTCACTACCTCCATTAGAGGCACATCTCAACTCAAACATATTGGGTTATTGTAACAGTGACTAACATCACATGTGCAATTGAACATTAACAGTATACCTCACCAGGATACTGCCTTCCTGCTGATTTCAGTACAGAACGCCAGCACAATTCCACACACCGTAAAGACAGTGAGGCACAAAACTGTCCCAGAGAAGGATTATCTAAGAAACTTCCTGGTTGTTCTTTACAAAGGAGCATCTGGAGAAAGTGGCTGCCATGATGGTCAACTGATTTGACACTTGGCTCTCTTTGATAAATCTAAGGATAATTTGTGTTTCATAAATGCACATGCCACACAATTCCCTGCCTAGAGAAATTCCACTTGTCCATGACACAGGGCACGGTCACCCCGAACATTACATTTAGATTATTATCGCTTTGTACTAAAGGCAAGTTGATTTGCTGTTTCTGCTGTTAAACATGAGCATCAGCTAGGCAATTACACAAAACATTATGCATTTGTATAGTATCCTTTATCCCAGACTAGAACCTCTTCTGACTGGGTGCTGCAGTGAAGCTCTCCTGTCCTACTCATACTAGATTAGGAGCCCACTCTGGGAGACAGAAAGACATGCTGTATCCTAGCTGGAAAAAAACCCACAACCATCCTACACAGCTACCAACTCCACACAACCTGTTGTCTAAAAGTACTGCTTTCCGCTTAGAATCTAACACCTGCTCTAACATTTTCTTCAGTCCTCCTCCTTCAATTCTCTCTTTCCAGGACAGGACACGCTATTCAAGAAAACAGTCTGGAAAAATGAACAAAAGCAAGCAGAATTTAAACAGAGTGAACAGCAAAATCTCACTAAGCCATCTGATGAACAGATCAGTTCACATGGATGTTTCCTACAGAAGGCATCTCCACACCTCCAGGGGATGAATTAAGTGCCATGCTTACACCTACATAAAGAAGAATTAGTTTTCCACCCTTTTCCATCAATTGAAAGCACATACTTCCTCAGAGAAAGGACTATGGGATGTCTAGTGTTCCTCTTTAGCTCCACCTCCTAAAAAAATTAAACTAGTCCTTCCCAAACATGTGTCAGACCCATTCATTCTGAAAGAGCACCTTCATAACCTGTAGAGTTTGCAAACTCAAATACATAAATGGGCTATAGCAAAGAGACAAAAATACTACAACAGCTTCAGCTTGGATCAACAAAACCATTAAGATAAGACTGCCTGCTTTTTAAAGCAGATCCTACCCTATTTTGTCCCCCTTAAGTCAGGAAACAGAAATTGCTCTCACCCAATTATACAACCCATCTCTTTAGAGATACAACAGAACTGCACATCTTTGCTCAAAGACAACAATATCATGCCTTTGCATTTGGCTGGAAAAAAATTGGCAGCAATTACAGTATGCAGACAAGTAAGATCTTGGAAAGGATCCCATTGGGAGAGGAGCGCTCCCTGCTGCCCCAGGGACAGGGCTTATGATGGATTGGAACCGGGTTCCTGGAATGCAAGCCTGTAAAGACATCTCTAACAGTCCCTCTCTTTTCTCTTCTACAAGCGATGCACTTCCACTATCACACAGAGGTAACAGAAACAAACATAGGTTCTGAAGTAGAGCTCCCCACATCTACAGTCTCAGCTGAGTTCTGTCAAGCAGGTACAATAGTTTCAGTTCACTTATACTTCTCTAGAAGACAAAGAGGCTCATGAACTCAAGGAGTTCAAGTGGCTTCAGGCTTAACCAAAAAGACTTCTCAGCCAGGAACTACCTGGGGCATCCAGACAGACTCCTACACACTAGGAGACAAGCCCAAAGAAGAATCAAATGGAGCAGGACTCACAGGAAGTAATGCTGAGAAATAGTTCTGGGAGTCCAGGTTTGCATCCAGCTGCTGCAGTGGGAACTCCAGGATCACTTTACTGAGCACCTGCATCATCTCCTTCAGGCCAATGTTATATGCATACCTGCAAGGAAAAAGGCAAAAACCCCCAACATTTCACACCATCTGATCTCTGCGGACCACGCCTCTTCACAGAGATACAGCAGAAAATTATTTTCATTTTCCAGACTTGTTTTTTCTTTGTTTGTTTGGTTTTCCAAATATTCAGGCAGTAAAACCACCTTGCGTTGCATCAGGCCCTGCATAAGGCCACAAGTCCTGAAAATCTGCTATCACAGTGGAACAAGCTGCTGCAGGGACAGCACCCTCACATTTACTAGAGTGCTGTAGGAATACTGTTGCGCAAAAGAAGGGAAACAGGTTTGTATTGGAGAAATACTACGTAAAAGGCACTCTGATTATGCGTTCTAGACTTGCTGCTGTAATAAGAGTGGACAAGCCACACCACAGCACAGCCCCAGCTGCAGGCAGCTGGTTGAATATTGCAATGCACAGAGCAGCAGCCCCTGCATGAACTTACAGGCAGTCTGTGCCAAGAACTGGCTTGCTCTCTTCAGTCCACAGTTACTTAATAGCAATTCAATCTCTTGTTACAAGAATTGGGGCAGGAAAAGCCTAACCACTGAGGATGCTATAGATGCAGATGGTGCTCTCCATCAAATCCTGTCATCATTCAGTCATGATCTCTAATCTGCATTTCTCATGCTCTATACTGATAAAATTAATGTTTAACAATTGAACGTGGGTATTCACATGGTTTCTCCTCTTCTTTCTAGATCCACTGTCAAACCCAACTGTTCAGCATAAGGGACAGCATCCCTAAGGGAAAACTCACTTGAGGGAGTTGATTTCCAGGACCAGGTTGTCACAGGAAATGTTTTCTTCTTCACCCCTCTGTAACGTACCCAGAACCTCATTCTGGAAAACTAATGAAGGAAAGGACAGGTAGTTAGACATGAGAGGGAAAAGCATAGATTCTTCAAACTGTTCATTACTGAAGAAACTGTATCCCTAAAGGAAGCATTCTGACACAGATGTCTATTTGTTCTCTGTAAGCTGGCACAAACCCACATCAACTATACTTATGAGTAGTGGAATATAATTCAAATAAAGGAGTCGACCTACTAGATACCATTGATCTATCCACACAAACCAGTACCAAGCTATTTACTTTGGCAACCTTTTAAAAGAGTAGAGTTTCTATTATACTTTCACAATCTAGCCTTTCCTATTCAGACAAACATCATCTTCCCCTAACTAAAGACGTGAACTCAAACCTAAAATTTATTGGTTTAATTTCCTTTGGGGAGATATTTTAACATGAAAAAGGCATACTTTTTTTCCCAGTTTGGCTTGAATACCTTTCAAATCCAGGTAAGCTTAACACAACAAAAGAACACCAAAATATATCTGCCAAAAGAGGCAGGTCCTACAAGGACATTTAATTCTCCAGCATGATTACAGCAGTAAGCCGTCTACACAGGGAAACTCTGCTGAACCTTCACACAATCTCTGGGTTTAGGCAATGACGCTGCCATTTAAACAGACAACTCAGGGAGGTTGCTTTCATGATGGCCCAGTGATCAGGGGTGAGAAAGATGGAGGTTCTTTGTCTAGCTTCTTATCCTTGGCTGCCTTGGGTTATCACAAGAGCAACAGAGGGGAAATTAAGGAAGTGAGGTCAGGAAACAAACATATTCTAGACATCTACAAGTTTTCCAATACACCTAGAGAATACAGCACAAATCTCACACTCACTGCATGACCTGCAGGCTCACCATACTTCTTAACAGCCCATCTCTCACCTTTGATATCATCTAGCTGCGGGGACGCTGCCCGACTGTCTGGCTCCTCAGAGCCCATGCTGAGGTCACTGTCCGACTCGCTCTCTTCCTCTGAATGCATAGCTGGGCCTGATGAAGAAGAGAAGACACAGCATTCAACACTCAAAAGCTGCAGCTGTCATATGCACGAGGTACCAGGTGTCCCACGGACTTCCCAACCAAGTCAGCAACTATCTGTCCTTGCAAGGAAGCTTCTGCTTACAGGTCCAGATGATTAGATTTGCTGCAGAGGGAATGCTACAGCTGGCACTAGGATAATGGGACTTTTTAAGAGTCTGCAGGCAGACAACAAAGGACAGGGACAGAAGCAAATGCATTTTGCGCAGACTGCTGACTCACAATGGAGCAATGTCAGCAGACACTGTCACTAGCAGGAAGAAAGCCAGCAGTACCCAGAATAGCCAAAGCATATTCCCTCTAAGGGAGGGCCTGGTATCCCATAGTGCGCCATTCACAGCACAGACAGTTGTGTGTGTTAGCATAAGTCAAAGATATAATAAACATCGAGCACAGGAAGAGAGAGAATCTGGTTCACCACCTGCTTTCACCTCTCACCTTGCCTCCACACACATATGTTATCTGGAGCCAATCTGCTTCACAAAGCCCAGGACTTACTCTGAACACAATTACCAGGGTCCCACTCAGACAGTTTCCCTGACACAGGTCTGTCTGTCCATCCCCAGGTGACTACACTAAACTTTTCCTCACCCCATAGGCTTTGCCTCTGCTCTTCTTCATCCTCTTCATTCTTGTCATCCGCTTTCCAGAGATAGCCTCTGCCCTCTGAGCCTACATCCTTTTTATTGTAACCTGAAAAAGAAACAGTTATTAGGAGGTAGATATACTGCATCAGCTTACAGGCAAACCTGAAATAGACCGGTATAACCTGCATATTACTGCCCCTAAATATCCTTCAATGAGAGGGAGCCGGGATTCCTGCAGATGCATAGGGATTTCAGCTTTTATCTTCTCACTCGCCTTGATAAGCGACCGACTTACTGCTCCCTACAGCAGCAACATTCATCTGACCGTGTTTAGATCCCTCAACAAACCCAAACTGACAGAAACAGTATTTCACAAGGACAAAGTCCTTGGACACAGTCCAGGTATGAGGACGTAGATCTTGCAACCTGCCTTGAACTGAACATCTCTTCCAACTTCAGCTTATTGTGTCTTACAAGGCTCCTAATCTAAGAAAAGCTGACTCTCCAAAGATTTTAATACTGGGGTACTGAGGTACATCTCACTGTCCAACTTGAGCCAAATATTCTTGCCTGCCCTACTGAAAATACATGTTCCAAGCTGAATGCAGCACTAAGCTCCGGCCTGGCACTGTACAGTTTAGAATGGGGGAGGGAAAGACCCCAAAAGATCATGAAAGGCAAAGCCCTCTGCATAGCCTGAGTGCATGGAGCCAGAGACTCTCATACCTTTCAGTTTCACTTTGCTTTCCTCCTTGTTCACGCCAGAATCATCACTGAACTGGTCATCATCCTCTTCCTCCTCATCTGGTGGGTGCAGAGAGATCACTGTGCCCTCAGAAAGGGTGATGCCAGGACCTACTACTACCTGCAAATATATGCAATACACCTTAATGAAGAAATACCCCGATTGCCCCCTTGTACCTCCACCAGCATGGACAACAGCTGCTCCAGACAAGCTGTATACTAACAAGTATAAGTGAAGACATCAGCACTGCTAGATCACATACTGTACTACCCTAGCCAAACAAAAGGAAGAAAAAGATGGGAGCAGTAGCATATCGCCCACCTCTGCAGAAAGGCTTGGAGCAGCCCTGTATTCTGCTATGGTCTACTGTAAGTCTAGTAACCTACCAAGAAAGGCAGAAAGCAGAACAGACATAAATACAGCTCACCTGAGAAGAGAGGACACAGTGGGGCTTTAGCTTTACTTTCTCCTTCACTTCAGCTTCATCGCAGATAACAGAATGGCAGATCTCCACGTTATCTGCTATGTGTACTCTGTCCCAGAGAAAAGCTCCGTCCAAAATTACTTTATCACCTGTTACACATCACCAAGCACAAATACGTTGAGCAAGGCAGTTTGCTGCTCTCCCACACTGCTGAGTCCACTAGAAAGCACCTTACTGAATCCCAATGCCCTTGATGCATGATGAATGTTAGATGAAAGGTAAAAATTGGCCTTAAGAAGCCTAGGGCCATTTCTTACCCAAAGCTAAAAGACAAGTTTGTTCTCTGCAGAGACTTAACAAGTTGACAGTAGCAATTGACATCTTGGTTTTGCACAAATACAGCCAACTCACAAAAAAATTCCAGCCAAGACTAGGATGAAGGAGTACCAGGCAGCTCACAAAGACAGGGACAGATGTCCCTCATTTGCAGGATGTTGGTGGGTGATAACTCTAAATCAGTAAAGGTCATGCATTCTCTACTGCTGAAATGACTTACTTGCATGAATTGCCTTCCACCTTTCAGCATCATTATGGTACCCTGAAAACTAATCTATTTCCTCTGCTGGAAAACCAAGCTTTTCTCCTTTCTTCCCATTAGAAGTCAATTAGTACCCACCTATCATCCTCTCTGAGAGCCAAATGCACTTTAAATCCCAACAACCTGTGCCCTTGCCTGCCAAGGCATGCATGTTCCCCATTCTGGTACTCACCTATCCTACAGTTCTGCCCAATAACACTGTTTGTTATGGAGCAGTTGCTGCCGATGACGGTTCCCTGCCCAATGAGTACGTTCTCTTCCAGCACGCTGCCGTGGCCAAGGCTAACATCCACCCCTCGGTAAATGTTGTGTTTAGAATGGGTGTAACTCTGATTCTTGTCATCGGTGAAGTTCATCTCTGGAGTCAAAGGATAAACCCAGCGCCGGATGATGTCAGAACACACAGCTTCATACATTAGCAGGTTGCATATATGGGCACCATACTCTTCTGTTGTTACATGCATATGGATCTGGTTCCCCAGGACCTGGGAGACAGGCAGGAGCATGTCAGAAGATTCTCTAATGCAAGGTAATAGGATCTCCCTTGTAACAACCCTCTCCTTACCTCCTCATTCACCAACAGACCACGCACAAAGTCATCTCGTGTCTGGTAGTCAAAATTGTCTGTGAACAGCTCAGCCACCTGCCAGGAATAAAAGATAAGGAAATAATATAATTAGCAGAAAATGTTGTCATGGAAGCCAGATAATTAAAGGCTGTTCAGTGGTTCTCAGAGAGCCGAGTTATACAGTACGGGAAAGTGATGCTCTTGCCTTGAATAAAGCTTTGATTCCTCCTCATAGGAGTGTTGACCGTCCCATCTCCTCCTCCTATCAGAGACTGTGAATAGATTCTGGTTTTCAGAAGGGGCAAAACAGTGCTTTAGCATTCCCAAGCAATCTGCACAGCCTCACTTTTAGTTTCACTCCCAAAGGAAGCCTGTAGACTAGCTTTTTCAGATGTGGAAGAGACGTTAGCGAGCCTAGGCTGGAATAACCCTGAATGTTACCCTAACACAGTACCAGCTTGCAAGTACTGACACTTTTCCATAGCATAGCCATCACCTCTGCTCCACAGATGTTACTATACTCGGAAGTGAAATCACTTATTTTCCAGAACAGTTTCATCCTATGCCAAATCAGCCAGTCTACCAATGCATCCACTGTCTAGTTCTGCCTGGGCTTGAGCAGCAGATGCCAGATACAGACTGAGCACCCACACAGTCCACAGAGCAGTGCCACTTGATCGCTCAATCTCTCAGCTCAGTCACTGTGCACAACTGAGAGTTCTGGTTTCAAAACCTAGTACACTCAAGCCGAACGCACCCCCTGCACACCAGCAGGACAAAGGGAGCAATGCAGATTGAATTTTGGAGCCTCAGAAGGGCAGAACTCACCTGCGGAGAGCAGATGCTGATATGACAATCCAGCAAGTCATGGCGCACCTCAACGTTCTCAATAGAGTTCTGGAACAGACTCTGAAAGAGGAAAAAATTCAGATGATCTGAGTGCCTTATGCAGTACCAAACCCCAAAAGCCTTCTATAAGCTGTGGCACTATTGATTGAATTATTAAACTACCTGAAGTTCTGATGATCAGAGGAATCTACAATCTACACTGAAATACAAGCTTAGCAGGCACAGCCTGGTCACACACAGAGCTGCATGTCAGTCAGAAGAGACTGGCCTCATCTTTACACAGTGCAGCTCTCCAAGAAACAGCTTGTACTTCGAACAACCACTTTTCCTCCAAGAGGCTCTTTACCTTAGTTGCTTGGAGCTACAAATGTACAAAGAACATTAATAAATCAAAAGAGATGTTCATAGTTTCCATACGCCCTGCGGATTTCTACAGCTGTGGGTTGTTTTTTTGTTGTTGTTTTTTGCTTTGGTTTTTCCTTTTTGGTTTCCAAGTTGAAAAAAGAAAAAGATCCATCTATCTCACTGGAGAAAGTGCCTCCATAGACATTTACAAAGCATTTACTACATTATTAGGTGAAGAGTACAGGCAGAGATAATAGGAAGTACTACCCCTTGCATGTGCTGTTATTCCACCCCCCATGCCAGGCTCAGTGCCGCTTCAAAATGGTTTGTGTATGATAGCAGTATATGCATCCCAATTTGGGAACCCCTGTGACAGTACAAATCATCCACCCCTCCTTTGTTTCACATGGAGAAAAGGAATAAAATAAATGCAAAAACTGAATTGTGAGAAACATGTCTGCCCCATCATCATACTCTGAAATGAATCCCAAACATGTGTCCCTGCACAATATCATCAAGCCTCAAATAAAGGTTAAAGGAAAAAAAAAAGCCACTTTACCAAGAGTTACTTCCTATCATCTGCTCCTCCAAAAGAAGCAGCAAGCACAGTTCCCCAGCCCTCACTCAAGGAGGACCTCCTCCTTGGGGTGGGCTGCTTCACTACTGCAGCCCTTTTCCACCTGTCAGGTTCCAGACGCACCATAGGAAAGCGGAAGCGTTTCAGCCCCTGTGTTCTCTGGTAGTGAAGGACACGGTTTGTGGCACTGTCCATAGCAATAACAATGTCATCCTCTTTGCACCTGGCATGGTGACCAGGTGAGGACTCCTTGAATATCATCGTCATCACAGAAACATTCTTTTCCATCTTACGACGCAACCTGAAAAAGAAGGGCAGAGCTTTAAAATCACTCTTCAGAGAGTTAGAGCCCAGTCTCAGCAAGCCAGGCAAGCGTACACTCTTTCAACACGTACTTGTGCTCTTCCAGGGCTTTCGATATATTGAAATTGGACACCACATCTCCAGTGACGAGAATGAAGTCGGAACGAACAAGGGACTTGGCATCAACGTCTCGTAGCACATCACCAAGGGAGCGGTACAGGTCAGAAGTCACAAAGCGCACCGTGTTGGGAGAAGTGTGGCGGCACCACTTAGATTTTCTGGAAGGAGAAAAACACATCAGGAAGGCATAAAGAGGATATTTCTATAAGAACACGCTAGGACACAGTCCTCCAGTGCATGCCGCATCTGTAAGTGAATGCAGGGAGAACGCTATTACGAGCCCATTATCGATAGGCTTAGGTATGCTCATCTGCACACAGCAGATGAACTGAAGAGGGTTAGACTTTGACACTGTTGCTTATGGAAACTTAGGAAACCCGACTCCACTGCGAGCCAAGTTTTGACAAAGGAGAAGGAAAAGTTACACACAACCCAAACTTTTTTTCTCAGAAAGCAGTACGTCAGGCAGGGAAAAGACTGCATGCTTCTCTTTAGCTTGCAAACCTGCAGCATGCAGAGGCAAAGATGTTGAGAGAGTTGTTTCCATATGCTGCATGGCATACCAAGACAGAGCATAACGCAAAGGGTGGTACTCTAATTTACATGGCTACCCACAGGAAACCCCTGCTTTTAGACAAGAAAAGTTAAATGCCAATATAACTGCAGTCCCAAAACACTCAACCCTTTTAATACACTGCACAACCACACTCCTTCACAGGAGGAATGGTCTTTTTTGAGATGTGCTAGGAGATAACCATTGAAAGGGAATCTCTTGCACACAGTTTTCATCAGAAGGATCAGTAAGACCTTTGAGGCTTGCTGGAGGACAGAAGAATCCTTTCTGTGATAAAACTAAAAAGAGGAAGAGATTCTTACTGTAAATGCTCTTTTATCTCAGCTGACTTCCAGCAGCAGAAAACAAAGGTTTCTTCCACTCCAGTTGCTGTTAGGAACTCCAAGGTATAGTCAATCATGGCCACATTTGCCATAGGTAAAAGAGCCTAAAAAAAACCCCAAAAATGAAAAACATATGGATAGCTGAACAAATGCTCTGTACCTCAACATCAGCAACAGCCCCTTCCAACTTGAGGATATAATATCATCAGTAGTACCAGAAAAATAACACGAGTAACTGCTCCACCACCTTTTATCAAACATTTTTAGAGTTGATCTAAATGGTAAGAGCTAGCTTCTGATTTTCTATAGGGGCAGATCCTCAGTTCAGAAAGGAAGGCATAAAAAAAAAAAAAAGTGAAGTTATCACACAGAAAACTCTTTAAGAAGACTCAGATAAATGAGAGACACTGAAAAAAAAAAAAAAATCCCAGAGTCCTGATTCCCTGACTCAGGCTTTAACTGTTTCAAGAAAAACCTGTCAGACATGAATGATGAAGCCACAGGAATATGACTGTCCAGAATTAAACAAGAAAAAAAAAAACCCAACCCACCAACCTAAAGTGAAGTGAGTATTCTCTTGACTTGAGATTCAAGCCACACTTTTAAACCAAATTACTGATTCACAGCTGAGTGATCTCATACTACTCTTTAATTCATTTTTGGTGCTGTTTTGTTTCAGGCTTGAGCTCGCGTGTATAATTATGACCACCACAAACATTTAATCAGCAAACGAAGCAAGATAATTGTTCAGACCTAAATTCTCCAGAAGTGCTCGTTCCTTTAACATACAGCCTTCTGATCAGGATAATTACAGCGCTTTCCCCATCCACTTTTCTGGCCATATTCTTTTACCCATTACTGCTGGCAAGGACGAAGACTTTGCTCCTTTCCTCTATCTGAAACAAGCCTGCCCAAACCCGCTGCTGCTCCTGTATCAGCGACAGACTAAAAGCAAACGGTGCAGTTTGCCTTGCCATATGGAAGAGCGAACAGCACCAACGCAGCAACGAGATCCTCGCTGCCTCTCCAGCGGCGGATATAAACTTTTACAAATGAGAACCGGTCAGAGGCCTCCACAGCGTGGGTGAAAGCGGGAAAAGCCGCGGCGCTGGGGGCTGCCCGAGCCCCGGGAGGAGGCAGGGGCCCGGCAGCACCCCAGGACCTGCCGGGAGCGGCTAGGGGGGGCCTCGTCTTCCCCCGGCCCAGCCCGGGGCTCGCACGGCGGGGCACGCCGCGACCCCGGGCCCGACCCTCGCTGCCGGCGAGCACTCCGCCTTTCGTCAGAGGCCTGCCCGCTCCAGCCCCGCCAGGGACGGGGCCGGGCCGGGACAGGACAGGCAGCCCCAGAGGAACCGGCCCGGGGGAGGCGGCAGCAGGCGGGGAGGGGGTGTGTGTGGGGGGAATTTCTCACCCGCGGCCGGTCTTTGGAGATAGGGAAGAAGCGGCGGTTGAAGCTGTCGGCGACCAGCACGGCCTGGAGCGGCGGCGGCGGCTCCTCCTGCGGGTCGGGCCCGCGGGCCACCCCCGCGCCGGTCCCCCGCCTCGCCGTGCCGCGGGCCGCCATCTCCTCACGCTGCCTCAGCTCCCCCCTTCCGCTTCCGAGTCCGCGCCGGAAGCAGCGACGGGAGCTCGGCGGGGACAGAAGAGCGCGGGGCGGCGGCGCCCCTTCGCGGCCTGGCAGCAGTCCCCGGTCCCCGCCCCTGCGGCCCCGGCCTGCCGGTTGAGCGGAGTCCGTCCCTGGAGAGCCGGGCAGGCCCCGCCGGGGCCCCCGCTCCCTGAGCGTCAGCCAGCCTAGCAGAAGGCAGGGTCCGGGGTGCGGGTAGGCGGAGAGGGCAGCTCCAGGAGGGCTTCGGGAGCCCCTCGTTGCCTCCCCAGCCTTTCGCCCCGTCCGCCGGCACCTGTGTGGAGAAGATCCGCCATTGCCAAGTGGATCTTCCTCAGGCAGAGCGGTGGGAGCCGGTCGCTTGCAGGGGCTGCGGCAGCGCTGCCGGCCCACATGCCTGCGCCTCGGGAGCGGGGGGGAGAGAGGCCTTTTCACCGGCAGCCCCCGAGGAGGGAGAGGGTGGAGGGGAGAGCGGCGCTCCCCGCCATGACAGGGGACAGCCAGGACCCAGTGGAGGCGAGGGGAAAGCCTGAATGTCCCACACACAGGCATTTCCCAGATGACCTCGGGGTGCGTGTAGTACTTTGGTGCAACCCCGGGGATTTCCAGTGTAGGAAAAAGTTGTATTTTCTTGATAAGCTTCCTAGCTGCCACGTGCTTGTGCTGCATTTCCAGATGCCCATCCGCTGTTTCGGCAAAGGCCAGCCTTGCTGTGAACCAGCCCTTTGGCACTCGCCTTCCATCAAGGAGTGACGACCAAAACCCGCAGTTGCTGAGGGACGTCTTGGAGCCCACCCAGAGACACTTCCAGAGAGGAGGAGGGGAAAGAAAATGTGGTTTCTGGGGGTGGGGATGGCGTTTGTCTTCCCCCCAGCTTGGCGAAGCAGCCCCTGCTTGGGAGCTGCAGGTGATGGTGTCTGGCTGTGCCCTCTGCTCGGACACTGTCAGCTTCGTGCATCCTGGTCTCCCCAGCCACCCCTGCCCCAGCCTGGGCTCTACCCTCATGCAGGTCTGGTGGTCCCTCCTAACGTGCTTCAATATTGGCCTGGCCCTCAGAAGGAGATCGGCTGCATACAGTCCTCAGCACAGAAAGTGTGCCCTTGGCTGAATCCCTCCTCTGCCACCTCTCTCTGCTGCCAGTCACAGTGCTGCAGTCCCTCTTGCCTGGCACAGCTCACACAGCACTGCTGCCTGCTCATTTTTTAGTGACAGAAAACTGTGCGATAACCCCTGCATTCAAAACCAGGAAAACAGGCTGGAATATTTCCCCAGGGAGCTCCTAGCAGGCTGGCAGCAGGAGGCCTGCAGAGAGACCCGAGCCTGGCAGCAGGAGGGCCTTTACCAGTGCTGGGTGCTGCAGAACCTGGTGCTCGCTGCCCTGACCTGTTGTCATGCTTCTGTCCCTCTCTCCACGTGGGACAGGCGTTCACAGCCCCTGCTCTGTCTCCTCACCAGCCTCTCTTGGATTCTTGGTCTCCCTTGCTCCCCATAAACTGCCCTGCTGTGACACCCTGCTCTGGTCCTTGCCGCTCTCATCTGCTAGCAACTCTGCACCTACCCACTGACTGATCAGCCAGAGACTCAAGGAGCTGATACACAGTTCAACTGTGATCCTAGAAAGAAACACAGGGCACTTGCACCCCCATCTCTGAGGCAGGATCTTTCCCCAGGGTGGAAGGTGGCACGCGCTTATCAGCCCAACATACACAGTATGGCCTTTCCACCCCAGTGACGGGGAAATTAAGGGAGGCACAACTCAATCATAGACCTACAGTACTGTCCCAGTGTCACAGGCAGCCTGTACAGCCCCCACAGCAGTGCTGAGGGGTCTTTGCTGCATTGTGAGTGGGAGAAGAGTGTAATATGCAACATGCAGCATCCCTTTTCATCGGTTGAATTGCAGGTTCAGGACTCACTTAGTAGAAAACAACTCTCCTCTGTCTCCTGAAGGACTCTGCAGCATTGGGTATTCCCTGAAATTTCCCTTACCAGCTAAAACGTTCAGGCATCGCTTATGTGGTGCCATCTGCACCCAGTAACTTGTGACTGAGCCCTTGCTGTGCTGCACCTTGTGGCTGAGTTGCTTGACCTTAGCTAGAGATTTGGAATAAAGCAGCAAGGATGGACACAGTGAGAAAATAGAAATGAGCTGCCCTAGGGAAATAAATCATCCCCATCCTTTTCAAAAATAGGTATCCGCATACCCTTGGGAATCCTGTTGCCTCTGCAAAGAAGCTAACCCCAGAACAAAAGCACCCAGATGGTTTCACCCCAGGGGTTGCAGCTTGAAGAATGATCCAAGAAGTGGATTTGTCATTGCCTGAGGGCAGGACAGCATCTTTCTTCCTGCCTACGTAGCACTAAGTGCATAAACAGCACCAGAAATCAGGTCTGATCCAGCCTGCACAGCCACTGCCCATGTCAGAGACCAGGCACACAGAGCTCGACAGGAGAATCAGCAGATTATCTGGCTAATTACATCCTGTTCTCTCCAAATGAGGAGAGTTTCCGAGATGTTGCCCTGGTAAATTGGCAGGAGCAGGGGAAGACAAGTCAAGGTAATTGATGATGACCTGAACTCAAAATCAGCCTGATAAATATTCCTCAGGTTTTGCAGACACGTTTCCCTTTGGTTTCACCAGGGACTTGCAGGCCAGTAGCACGTGGGCCAAACATTTTCTGAAAGCAATATAATTCCAGGGGAGCTTTTAAAATTGAAATTAGCTCATGAAAATTGAAATGAGGCTAGACTGGGTTAGACTGGAGGTCCATCAAACCCAGTATCCCACAGCGGCTGGGCAGGGGGGTGAGAAGACCCATAGACTGTAGGGCTTTTTCTTACTCCCTCATCCGTGGATACCCCTGGACACAGCATCATGGGGCAGCATCCAGCAGCTCTGGGAATGATGAGCGTGGTGGGGATGCTCTGCTTTCTGGGGCATCCTCCCAGTCCCTGTTCCTACATTTTTAACTCTTTTCTCTTCTGTGTTTGTTGTCCTCTCTGAGCATTTGGTTGCTCCCTGGCTTTTCCCTCTGCGTAGATGATGGCCCACAAGGCATCGCTAAGCCTTGGCAGGCAGCTCCAGCTTTGGTCTTATTTGAGATGGATTTGAGGCTCCTCGTTCATCAGGGCTGAGTGGGACCTGTGTCAGGGGGTCCCCAGGGTGGTAAGACTTACAATGAGGAGGATCACAGGAGGTCTGCATGGAGGAACCACGTACCTAGCACGAGGCTGATTTCCCCTCACATGTCCTGCCTGGTGGCCAGCAGCTGTGATGCCCTTGGAGCATCCTTGGGTGCCTCAGCAGAGAGCTATGGGACATGTGTCATCTCACCTCCAGGTCAGGTATGCAATTAGTGCCTAAACTCCTGGCCCATGCTACGCTGGCAGGGAGCCTGGTTAGGTTGGGGCTATCCCCACACAGCGTCAGAGGTGACAGAGGCAGGCCATGAGCCCTGGCACAGGATATCTGGGCACAGGGGGCTGTCCTGAGCTTACCCAGGACAGCTGATGCTCACTTGCCAGATGCAGAGAGGGGTCTGTCTGCCCCAAGCACCCTTGGAGGAACTCCTGCTGCTGGGAGAAGGGGTAGGCAACAGCCAGGACATGCTTACGTTGTTCAGCCCTCCTGCACACCTGAACGGCTCTATGCCTGACACAAGATTTACCTGAGTGCCGAACCAAGTCCTGCAGGTAAAAAGAAAACTCCAGACCACAAGTAAGTCAGCAAATATGAAAGCCAGACGCACTCTGCATCCCAACCCTTCTGCCTCACTCCCTTCCTCCCACGCCCTGGGCTCTGGCCAAGCTGACAGCAGGGACACTGACTCACAGGCTATTCCTCCGTTCTTTGCTCATTTGGGCCTCTCCTGCGCTTCTCAGCAGAGGTTTCTGCCAGATGAACTGCTGGGCTTCCTCCGCTCTCGGCATCCTGCTGTTGCTGGGTTGGCAGCCTTGAGAAGGGGAGCCAAAGACACGAGGCCACCCTGTCTGCATCCCCCTGCGTTTCTACCTGCCCTGGGGTGCTGCTCACAGCAGTCCCTGGTGGCCCCTTCCACCAGTGAGATGCTGGGCACAGCATCATTCACCTGCTAACAGGGAATATGCATTACTGCCGCCTGAGCTCTGGGCTGCCACAGCTCCCTATAGCTCAGCTGCCCCGTGTTTTGCGTTTGTCCCTGTGCCAGATGGGATGTGCAATGAGATGGGTGGCTGCTGCACCAGCACCTGCCCAGCTGCCAGAATATGGAGATGGGGCTGCAGGGGGTCCCGTTGCAAGGAGCAGAGCGTTTGTGGTGAGCAGGCTGCAGCAGGGGGCTGCCACTGGTGGATGCTCATCCTGTGCTGCTGGGTACCACACAGGTATGCCAAGCTGAGGAGGTTCCCCACAGGTGGCACAGGTCTCCCTGGAGGGACAGGGGACAGCAGAAGTGCCCCATTGCTTAAAGAAGGGACATCCATGTGACTGTCTGCCACTGACCAGCCCTGCCTGGAGCTCAGAAACCTGAAATGAGAGGAGAGACAGGGAAAGCACAGTTAAGTCCCAGAGTAAACTTCTCTCTAATTTACTTCTTCCCTGGGGCTTCTCCTGGTCCCAGGCTCTCTACTCACAGACTGTCCTGGTTTTGGCTGGGATAGAGTTAATTTTCTTTCTAGTAGCTGGTATAGTGTTATGTTTTGGGTTCAGTATGAGAAGAATGTTGATAACACAGTGATGTTTTCAGTTGTTGCTAAGTAATGTTTAGTCTAAAGTCAAGGATTTTTCAGCTTCTGATGCCCAGCCAGCAAGAAGGCTGGAGGGGCACAAGTTGGGAGGGGACACAGCCAGGGCAGCTGACCCAACTGGCCAAAGGCATATTCCATACCATGTGACAACATGCCTAGTATATAAACTGGGGGGAGTTGGCTTGGGGAGGGGGATCGCTGCTCAGGAACTAACTGGGCATTGGTCAGTGAGTGA